TATATATATATATATATATATATATATATATATATATATATATATATGTTGTTGTAATGAGAAAAAGAAATAAAAGTGTGTCACATTAGATTGGATAGAGATAAAGGATGGGAGAGGAGGAGGGGAGGAGTAGGGGGGATAGGAAGGGCAGCAGAATAGAATAGAAAATATGATTGATGTATGTACATTCCATGTATGTATTATATGCCAAAATACATTCTGCTGTCATGTATGACTAAAAAAAAATTAAAATTAAATTAAAAAAAAAGGTGCTACCTATACCTACTTAAAAAACTTGTAGTTATTAATAATGTAATTATTTTCCAGGCATGACCAGGCACCCCTCTGATCACAGCTCCTCACGATTTGACATAGGAGTATTGCAGATTTGAGGCCAGCTGGGCTTCTTAGCAAGACCATGTTTCAAAAGCAAAGTCCCTTGTGAGGGACCTCGGAATTCAGCTCATTGTAAAGTCCTTCTGGATTCAATCCTAAGTAGCAGAAATAATCAGGGAATTAACAGATGATAATTGTGGGAGTGATGGAGAGCTGAGACAATGGAGAAGAGTCATATTTATGTCACAGGAAGGAAAATGGGTAGTAGATTGAACAGCAAGATATCACCACCCAGTGAGGACCCAAATGTACCTCTGTAGGAAGCACTTGCTCTACTCTGAGGCTTAGTTTATTGACATAAAACCAAAGTGCGTGAGTCCTGTTCTTGTTTGACTTTTTCCTGGGGACTTATCATGAGTCCAGAACCATGTCCCCAGCACTTTTTGTTTTTCATTTTGGGAAAGGGAGGAGGGAGAGCATAAGGGAAGAGCAGTGGAATGAATCTTAGCAGTCTTTCTTATTTACATATTAGTACAGGTAAGTGATGACCACCATCAGTATATCCAGGAAACACTAATAAAAAATATCTATCATTAAATATCAGAAAGATCAGTACAGTTGAGGGGAGGTGACAAGAGGAGGGGAGAGTGTGGATAAAGGGACATATTGGGGCCTGAATTAGACAACTTATGTTTCATGCTTCTATCACTTTGTCAAAAATAATGCAAAAGTTACAAATAAAAATAAAGGACAAATAGAAATAAAATGAATAATGATATAATAATGGGGACAATATAATATAATAATGGATTAGCCAGGTGTTGGAAGGAGGCCCTGGAGATCCATGTGATGTAGAGGGAAAATGAAATGTCACAGATTTTCATAAATGGCACCAGGTTGCAGACATTACGGTAACCAAAATCCTCATCAGAAAACTTATATTTGAGCCTTTCTTCACTATGGAAAACTTGATGGAAGAACTTAAAAGTTTGTGGTGTCCTGATACACGGGCATCTCGAGAAGACTATGGATGGTCACGCCCCTGAAGTAGCTGCCTGGAAAGAGTAAGGGAGTGAGGTGTGGTGACTCCACCTCCCTCTGTGCCTGCTCCTGGGCTGACCTGAGCTCCTGTGTTCTGAGCGCCCCCTGCTGGCCCTGGGTGCCCTGCAGGAGGTTTGTGTCTGGGCTCACCCTGAGGTCCCCTCACTGTGTCTCTGGCACAGTAATAGGTGGCTGTGTCCTGGGTGGTCAGGGAGCTCAGCTGCAGGGAGAACTGGTTCTTGGATGTGTCTCTGGAGATGGACACTCGGCTCTTGAGGGATGGGCTGTACCTAGTATCACCATCATACCATATGCAACCTAACCACTCCAGCCCCTTCCCTGGGGGTTGATGGATCCAGCTCCAGCAGTAACCACTGGTGATGGAGTAACCAGAGACAGCACAGGTGAGGGACAGGGTCTGTGAGGGCTTCACCAGGCCAGGTCCTGACTCCTGCAGCTGCACCTGGCACAGGACACCTGGGGACAAAGACAGTCACACCCTGTTAGTCACCTGTAGTTACAACCTCCCCATGGACCCAGGTCTGACACTGGGGACACTCACCTTGCAGAGCTGTGACCAGGCACAGGACAAGACCCAGCAGCCTCATCTTCTAGACCACACCTGCCTTCCCAGAGACCTCAGCCCTGTCTGAGCAGAGAGCTGGGAGCTCCCACAGCCCAGAGGGCCTTTGAACCCAGAGCAGGAGGAGGAATTTGCATGTGGGTGAGGCTCCTCTGATATCTGGAGACCCTGAGGTCAGGCTGCCCATGTCCTCTGTGCTCCTGAGATGTGTCCCTGTCTTGAGCCCAAGTGGAGCTTTACCTGTGAGAGGAGAGCAGGTGGTTTCAGGGGTGCTGGAAGGCTGTCAGAGGGGGAGCCTACCCTCCTGAGCCCAGCCCTGCCCCCTCCAAGCCCTTCCTCCCTGCACCTGGGAGGGTGTCAGAGTGGCAGGAACGTGCCCAGCATGCAAGATGCCCAGGTTCACCTCCCAGCCCTGAAGGAGAAGCCCTCAGTGATGACTGAACAGAGCCCAGGGCTGAGGATGGGGTTCCCCACATCCAGGAGAAGAGCCCCCTTTGTTCTCAGGACGAGTTCTTCTCTTTCATCTCTGTGAGATTTGGGGGCTACAGACTGAGCAGGAGAGGAGGGAGCAGGGTCTCAGGAGGGCAGGGGCATCCTGCTGTGTGCCCACTGCCCTGCCCCACCCTCTGCCCTGCTTGTCCTCCTGACTGTCCGGCCAATGCCTGTGGACAGCAGTGGGTGGGAATCTGCCCTGAGCTCTTCCCCTCACCTGTCCTGCCTTCTGGTCTCCACCAGGAGAGGACAGGATGGAGGTGCTGGGCCAGGTGAGAGTCCTGGGATCAGAGGCAGCTCTCAGCTGCAGTCTGAGGCTGAGAGCCCCTGAGTCCCCCAGAGCAGCAGAGCCAGGCTGACAGCAGACAGGACAGCATGCAGGGCAGGCTGGGTGAGGGAGGAGGCCCAGGTCCCTTCCCTGTGCAGCATCACTGCAGTGACACCTGCCTTGCCCACAGCCCAGCATTTGGAGAGAACAGTGGACACTGTCTTTAGTGAGGTGGGGTCACTGAGAGGGCAGGTGTAGTTTCTGACCTCCTGATGAGGTTCAGGAATTGACCTCCAGCCTAACTGAGTGAGCACAGCACACTAATAAGACATGTGGGCTCCTCTCCTTATTCCCTGTGGTGTTGACCATGAGCTCCCTGCAAACACTGAGCCTGCAGCACCCACCTCCTGGTCCTGGGGTGACCCAGGTATGTCCTTGCTGATCCCTATGATTTTGCCATCTGCAAATGCATATGTCTCATTGTGTGTTGTTTCCAATTCCTAGCAAATCATTTGATTTAGAAAGCTGTCCTTCCATGTGTACTAATGGAGAGATTTCTATATGCTTCCTCTTCCTACCTGGGGAATCTGAAGCCCCCTCTGTGATAGATTTCCCAACTTTTCTTGGGCCAGGGGTAACCCAGTGGGCTCCAGCAAGCCTGATCTGCATGTGGATGTGCTTCATGTAACTTGTCCTTCCACTGCATTGACCACCAGCCTCCCTGGAGACTTCCCATTCATTTCTGTGTTGATCAAGATTTCATGGACCCAACATCTTGGTCTCTTCAGTCTCCTCAATGACTTCCTCACCAATGACGCTTGTTTCTTTGGAAGTTTCCTGAGTGGCCTCTATCTCAGTTCAGATGATTACTCCTCCAGTTCATGGGTGATTCACCTGGTTGACCAACAAACTCAGGACCCATGGACAAAATTGCTGTGAGTTATATTTAGAAGAAGATTTCCTGTAACTCACCTGCTTCCTTTCTAAGCACATCCATCTTGCACCAGGGACAGACTTGGGGATCATTGCAAACACAGCAATCACCATGCACAGACATGGCAGGGACTGTGACCTTCCTTAGCTGCTCAGAAGAACTTGTATTCACAGCAGGAGACAGACACAAGAGGATGGGGATGGGGTGGAGAAATTCTTCTGGAATTGGGCTGTGTGAGGGAATTACCTTCTCAGGCAGCTGAGGTCCATGAACAACTGAAAAATACAACAGCTTTGAATTTGAGGTTTGGCCTTGCTCCCAGGGCTGAGGAGGTGTGACGTGGCCTCCAGAGCTGGGACACTCTTGCTGTAGAAGTCTGGAGTGGGACAAACTGCACATTATTTTTCATGTTCCTGTGGTGCACTGATGGTCACTCAGGTATAACCATCATGTGCACAGCTGAGAGTGTCTTGCACCTGAGTGTGTGGATCTGAGTGTGTGTTATTGTGTAAAGTGACCCAGAAATGCTAGGTGTGTTTGAGATTCCTCAATTCATCTCCTGCTGGAAACGTAAGTAATTATACTTTTAATGACTTTACATTACTGTTTGAGGACATATGTTGTAAGTTAGTTGATTGTTAGCATTTTAACTTGGGGGCTATTATACATGAAGTTACTCTTGTTTGCAAGTTAATTTGGGGACCATGGAATTCAGTATTATGGCATTAACACAGCTCTATGCACTGCAGCCAGTCATTATTATTCTTTTAACTTCACAGTTATCTATGCTATGCCCAGAATCATAAGTGTAGAAACGTTCCTAGGAAGGGACTAAAGTCACAGAGAAGTGAAAATCATGATGGGAACAGCCCAGGAGCATCAGTCAGAGCTCCTGTCAGAAGCAGAGAAATCATGGAAAGGCCCTGCCTGGGGCCCTAAGGGCTGGCTGGGGAGAGCACTATTCTTTAAGTTCTTCCTCATCTCGGAGGGTTCCAGTTCATGTCTGTTAGACTTTAATTTTAGGTGTTGGGTTCTAGAGCTATATGCGAAAATTCACTGTCAGACTGAGGTATTCAAAGATCATTCTCTTTTCTCCTAAAAAACGTGGGCTTGTGTTTCAAATGTAAATCTGTAATCCAGTTACAGTTCAGGATTTTAAAAGGTCTCTCCATTTTGTTGCAGTATAAATTTTCAAAACACTTTCTAATTATCTCTGTACTTCAGACGTGGTGAGGGTGTGTGAGCCTGTTGAGCAGTGACCAGGCCTGGTGCCCAGTTCAGGGGGAGCCAGTGTGTGGTGGTGTCTCTTGTTCTGTGGTCATGGCCCCCAGGTGTGCACTTCTCCCCTCCCACCCCATCCTCCCTTCTCTGTTCTGGAGGCTGTTAGGAAACTCCATTTCCCATGTCCTCCCCATTTGAGCTGCTGCCAGGGAGGCCCAGGGAGTCCTGGGAAGCAGTGAGAGAGTAAGAGCTGCTGTGCCTGTGATCAGGCCTCCTTTCCTCAAAATCATGATTTAAGACTTAAAAGTGCCACTATTTGTTGTAAATGAGCATTCTCCTGTGAAGATGGCCTGCTTCATAGCCACGATTTAACCCAGAAATTCCCCAAGTAAAAGAAAACCACCTCATCTATTCCAAGATTTTTCTGATGCCCCACTCCCAGGGCAGGTGATTCCCTATGACACCAAACACCTCCTAGAATCTCAAAGCTGGTACTGGCATTTTCTTTGTATTTTTAGAATCATAACATTGATGTAACACAGGGATCTGAGGTCCACCTGCCACACCACAATGTCCATGTCTGTGACTGAGCATCAGCTGGTGGTTCTGTGAGCACATGGCATCCCATGACCACAGATGCCCTCCATGTAGGAAGC